ATAACATAGTGACAGTCTATGCAGGTTTTGGTGACCCTCATAAAGCAAGAGGATTACTACGAAAACAATACGGCCAGCCTTGTGACTGCAGAGGGGGACAAATATCTGAACCTCCGTCAGAATCACCCAGGTGACTTGCTCGGGCAAGACAGCGTACTTAATGCCAGACCAGTCGTGGAAATGTAAGTCTACCCCAAGAGACACCTCGCCTAGCGGGCCGCTCCTAGAATGCCCTTGTAGCTCTTTCCAATCTTCTGTACATAGTTCCTGTTATACCTCCTATCAACAATGCAAATCAGGCAATAAAACATACTATACGGCCACGTTACTAAAAACACAAACTGGAGGTACCAATGATGTACAAGTATTAGGATCCACTAATAAACTTGTACAATCTTCTTGTAACGGCCAAAAAGGAAAGCCTGTTTGTTGGAGCACTACTGCTCCCATTCATATTTCTGACGGAGGAGGCCCATTAGATATTGCAAGAATTAAAACCGTCCAAAAAAAATTAGAAAAGATTCATAAAGCTCTATATCCTGAACTTCAATATCACCCCTTAGCCCTGCCTGAGATTAGAGATAATTTTAGGCTCGATGCTCAAACTTTTGATATCCTCAATGCTACTTACAATTTACTTCAAATGTCCAATACAAGCCTAGCCCACGATTGTTGGCTTTGTCTTAAAATGGGCCCCCCTATTCCTCTAGCTATACCTAACTTTTTGTTGTCCTATGTCAATTACTCAAATGAATCCTTGGTAAATAATTCCTGTCCTATTATCTCTCCCCTCTTAGTTCAACCGATGACATTTTCTAATTCCTTTTGCCTCTTTTCACTATCGTATAAAAGCACTAAAGAAATTGATCTAGGCTATGTTATGTTTGACAACTGTACCTCCATAATCCATGCCACCGACCCTTTGTGTGCTGTAAATGGCTCGGTTTTCGTCTGTGGAAACAACATGGCATATACTTATCTACCTACAAATTGGACAGGGCTTTGTGTTCTGGCCACTCTTCTCCCCAACATTGATATCATTCCTGGAGATGAACCTATCCCCATCCCCGCTATTGAACATTTTATTTATAGACCGAAACGAGCCATACAATTTATTCCCTTATTGGCTGGACTAGGAATCACCACTGCTTTTACAACAGGAGCCACAGGCCTAGGGGTCTCACTAACTCAATATACTAAATTATCCAACCAATTAATTTCAGATGTACAGACCTTATCCAGTACTATACAAGATTTACAAGACCAAGTAGACTCATTAGCTGAAGTAGTTCTCCAAAATAGAAGAGGTCTAGATTTATTAACAGCAGAACAGGGAGGGATCTGTTTGACTTTACAGGAAAAGTGCTGTTTTTACGCCAACAAATCCGGAATCGTCAGAGATAAGATAAAAACTTTACAAGAAGAACTAGAAAAGCGCAGAAAGGGCCTGGCCGCCAATCCATTGTGGACGGGACTCGATGGACTTCTCCCCTATCTCCTGCCATTTCTTGGTCCTTTACTTACTCTTCTACTCTTCCTCACTCTCGGGCCTATAATCCTTAATAAGCTTATGGCATTCGTCAGACAACAAATCGAGGCCTTCCAGGCCAAACCTATACAGGTCCATTATCATCGCCTTGAGATGACTGAAAATGGTGAGTCTTATTTACCTCAATAAGACCACCTCCCCTGTGTGCTGAACTGGACAGTCAATGACGGGTAAGAGGACACTATCTCCACCGGAGCCTAAGACAGGAGGGCCGCCTTTGCTGCTGCCTTATCCCATGACGGGCCTAGAAGGTGGGGATGAGTTGACCCAACCTAAGACAGGCGCAGTTCCTGGGGGGTTGTTTTCTTGTCATAAAATAATAAAAAGGGGGACCTGTCCGGAGCTGCGCGCCCCTGCCATAGCGAGTAATTATTGACGATTAGATGCCTGAGCTCTATTCGTTTCCACCTCTCACCTCCTTCCCAGATTTGCCTTTTTCCCTGTATTAAATACCTCGCACAAGATGGCGCTCTTCCTGCTTCTTCTTCACCCATCTTTCCGGCGCGCGTGAAAATTGTTACTTTGTAGTGTAGGCGCAACATGACCTCCGACCGTTGAAACCGAAACCTGCCTGGCCACGCCCTCCGAAATGAGATCATTTCCGCCTTGGCCCAACCCCTTCCTCTCCAAGTGTATATAAGGCACTGCATTACCGCCATTAAACGAGACTTGATCAGAGCACTGTCTTGTCTCCATTTCTCGTGTCTCTTGTTCCCCAAATTCCCACTCCCTCCTCCAGGGCCTGCTTCGATGATCCCGCGGGCCGGGATACGTGGCGCCTGAACAGGGACCTGGAAACGAGGGACTCTGTGAGGAAGAGGACGCCAAAGGACGGTCGACCGCTAACGAAGACAAAAGAAAGTGAACTCTTCCGATCACCGCGGGAACCTGCCGCGTCAGAATTGAAGGTAAGTGACGCGTCCGAAATGGGACAAGAATTAAGCCAACATCAGATCTATGTAGGACAATTAAAAGAGGCTTTAAAGATACGAGGAGTAAAGGTTAAAGGTAATGATTTGTTTAAATTTTTTGATTTTGTAAAAGATACTTGCCCTTGGTTCCCACAGGAAGGAACTATTGATATTAAAAGATGGCGTAGAGTAGGGGATTGTCTTCAGGACTATTATAATACTTTTGGGCCAGAAAAAATTCCTGTGACTGCCTTCTCTTATTGGAACCTCATTAGAGATTTAATAGATAAGAAGAAGGCCGATCCGCAAGTCATGGCTGCGGTCGCTCAGACAGAGCATATTTTAAAGGTTAGCTCCCGCTCTAACCTTACAAAGCCTCCGCAAGATACGGAGGAGGATCTCATTTCCCTCGAAAGTGATCATGAGGAAATCAAGTCTCCTTCTGTAACAGATAAGGAAATGCCACACGAAAACAAACAAAAAAAATACCGAATTTTACAGATGCTTCAAAAAGAGGAGGAAATTAATAAGCCTAATCAATCAGACATAAATTGGGGTGACTTAGAGGAAGAGGCGGCTAAATATCACAACCCTGATTTGCCTCCCTTTACTTCATACCCGCCCCCATATAATAAGGCACATAATGAGGCTTCTGCGCCCATTGTTATGGCAGCAATAGATCCCAAAGAAGAATTAAAACAAAAAATTGCTCAACTAGAGGAACAAATTAAACTTGAAGAGTTACATCAATCATTGATAATTAGGCTCCAAAAGCTAAAGACAGGAAATGAAAAAATACCCAACTCAGACGCTATGGAGGGTTCCTTAAGCCCACCTCAGCGGCCTGGACAACATGTTCCAAAAGGGGGGTTAGTTGCTAGCCGACATAGAGAAGACTCCTCCCCCAAAGACGTTTTTCCGGTCACTGAAACCATAGATGAACGGGGACAGGCTTGGAGGCATCATACTGGATTTGACTTTACTATTATAAAAGAGTTAAAGACTGCTGCCTCTCAGTATGGGGCTACTGCTCCATATACTCTTGCTATAGTGGAATCTGTAGCTGAGAATTGGCTCACTCCTACAGACTGGAATACCTTAGTTAGGGCAGTCCTTTCTGGGGGAGACCATTTAATTTGGAAGTCAGAGTTCTTTGAAAATTGTAGAGACACGGCTAAAAGAAATCAACAGGCAGGAAACGGTTGGGATTTTGATATGTTAACTGGTTTAGGTAATTACGCAGACACTCAGGCCCAAATGCAATATGATCCTGGACTGTTCTCACAAATCCAGGCTGCCGCTACAAAAGCCTGGAGAAAACTTCCCGTTAAAGGAGATCCAGGGGCCTCGCTCACAGCAGTTAAACAAGGACCCGATGAGCCATTTTCAGACTTTGTGCATAGACTTATGACCACAGCAGGTAGAATCTTTGGAAATGCAGAAACGGGTATAGATTATGTTAAACAGTTAGCTTATGAAAACGCTAACCCCGCCTGCCAAGTGGCAATCAGACCTTATCGAAAGAAAACAGATTTAACAGGATACATTCGCCTTTGTTCAGATATTGGGCCCTCATATCAACAAGGCCTAGCAATGGCCGCCGCTTTTAGCGGCCAAACAGTAAGAGACTTCCTCATTAACAAAGGTAGAGATAAAGGGGGATGTTTTAGATGCGGTAAAAGGGGACACTTTGCAAAAGATTGCCATGAAAACCAAAATAAAAATCCAGAAGCAAAAATTCCAGGCCTTTGCCCAAGGTGTAAAAGAGGAAGGCACTGGGCAAACGAATGTAAATCTAAAACTGACAGTCAAGGAAATCCTTTATCCCCTAGGCAGGGAAACGGGATGAGGGGCCAGCCTCAGGCCCCGAAACAAGCATATGGGGCAGTCAGCTTTGTTCCAGTCAGCAACAGCATCCATTTCAAAACTTAGTAGAGCAACCCCAGGAAGTGCAGGGCTGGACCTCAGTTCCACCTCCCACACAGTACTAACACCTGAAATGGGACCACAAACCTTAAATACCGGAATATATGGACCTTTACCACCTAACACTTTGGGGCTGCTTTTGGGAAGAAGTAGTGTCACCATGAGAGGCTTACAAGTCCTCCCTGGAGTTATCGATAATGATTATGAAGGAGAAATTAAAATTATGGCCAGAGCTATTGATAATATTATTACTGTCCCTCAAGGAGTTAGAATAGCTCAGCTAATCCTGCTACCTTTGGTCAAAACAAATAATAATATCCAACACTCTAATAGAAATATAAAAGGTTTCGGATCATCAGACATATATTGGGTGCAACCAATTACAAATCAAAAACCCTCTCTAACCTTATGGCTAGACGGGAAGGCATTCACTGGACTAATAGACACAGGGGCTGATGTAACTATCATTAAACAGGAAGATTGGCCCTCTCAGGATAAGAGAAAGAGTTGATGAAGTGAAACTGACCAAACATATGGAGTATAGCAGAGAAATTGGTTAGACAAAGAAATAGAAAAGGAGACTAAACCCATAATATCCAAATCCATGGCAAAGTATGATTTTAAATGTGATCGCTTGTCAGAGATCCCAGAGAGGAAAGACAGAGGATTCAAAAGGAAATGAATATAGAACAAGAATTGTTAGGCAAATAGGGGAAAATGTGAAGGTGCATGGAGGAAGACAGGAGAAACAGAGATCCTATCAGATGACCTTACAGACAAAGCAGAGGTGAAGCAGAAGGCAAGGCAAAGTCAGCTGGGAGAAGCAGAGAGATGGGGCCTGAAGGTGGGATGGACCTGTGAGGAGGGTAGTTCAGGAGCAAGAACACTGGCAAGGTGAGGAGAGGGAGGAGGGAGAAAGACAAGGGTGGAGGAGAAATGGTAGGCAGGAGGAGAGGGAGAAGAGGGACTACAGAGGAGGAGATGGAGGAGAAGAGAGGATCGGAAAGAGCAGGAGCAAAAGGAGGGGAGCAAGGCCATCAGAGAAGAAACCAAGAGATGGAGGAGGAGAAGGAGGGAGGAGCTTGGGAAGGAGAAGAAGAGGAGAGAGAGAACAAGAGAGAAAAGAGAGGAGGAGGAGAGGGGAAGAAAGGGAAAGGAAGAGAAGGGGGAAGCAGAGGTGGAGAGAAGGTGAAAAGGAAGGAGAGGTGGAAGAGGAGAGAGGGAAAAGGAGGAAGAAGCGGGGAAGGAGGAGGAGGAGAAAGAAGGAAGAGGAGGAAGGAGACCAAGGGAGAAGGGGAGAGGAGGAAGCAGAGGGGGAAGAGGCAAAGAGGAGGGAGGGAAGTAGGGAGAGAAGGAGGAAAGGAGGAAGGGAAGGGGGAAGAGGAAGAAGGAGAAGGGGAGAGAGAAGAGGAAAGAGGGAGGAGAGGAAGGGAGAAGAGGAGGGAAGGAGGGAAGGGGAGAAGGGAAGGGGAGGAGGAGGAAGGAAGGAGAAGAGAGGGAGAAGAGGAGGAAGGAGAAGGGAAAGGAGGAGGAAGAAGGAGAAGAGAGGAGGGGAAAGAGGAGGAAGGAGGGAAAGAGGGGAGGAGGAAAGAGGAGAAGAGGAGGAAGGGAGAAGGAGAAGGGAAGGGAGGAGGAAGAAGGAGAGAGGGAGGAGGGGAAAGAGGAGGAAGGAGAGAAGGAAAGGGGAGGGAGGAAGAAGGAGAAGAGGGAGGGGAAGAGGGAGGGAGAAGGGGAAAGGGAGGAGGAAGGGGAGAGGAAAGAGGGAGGAAGGAGAAGAGGAAAGGGAGGAAGAAAGAGGAAGAGGAGGAAGGGAGAAGGGAAGGGGGAGGGAGGAAGGAGGAAGGAGAAGGGAGGGGGAAGAAGGAAGGAGAAGGGAGGAGGAAGGGAAGGGGAAGAGGAGGGAGGGAAGGGAGGAGAGGAAGAGAAGGAGGAAGGGAGAGGAGAAGGGGGAGGAGGACGGGGGAGGAAGAGAGGGAGAGGGGAGGGAAGAGGAGGAGAGAGGGGGAGGAGGGGAGGGGGAGAAGAGAGGAGGAAGGGAAGGGGAGGAGGAAGGAGAAGGGGGAAGAGGAAGGGAGAAGGGGGAGGGGGAGAGAGAGAGGGAGGAAGGAGAGGAGGGGGAAGAGGGAGGAAGGAGAAGGGGAGGGAAGAGGAGGAGGAAGGAGAAAGGGAGGAAAGGGAGGAGGAAGGAAAAGGGAAGGAAGGAAAGAAAGGGGGAGGGGGAAGAGGGAGGAAGGAGGGGGAAAGGAGGAAGGGGGAAGAAGAAGGGGAGGAAGGAAGGAGGAGGAGAGGGAGAGGAAGAAGGGGAGGGAGAAGGAGGAAGGAGAGAGGGAGAGAAGAGGAGGAAGGGAGGTGGAAGGGGGAGGAGGAAGGGAGGTAGAGAGAGGAGGAGGGAGAGGGGGTGGAAGGAGGAAGGAAGGAGAGAGGAGGAAGGGAAGAAGGAAAAGGAGGGGGAAGGAGAAAACTGGGAGGAACAGAGAGGAGGGAAGAGAGGGAAGTACCAGGAGACAGGCGAAGAAAGAGAGAATGAAAGGCAGGAAAGGCAGAATGGAGAAGAGTACAAAAAAGTAAGCAAAATGAAAGGATCTGTGAAATATGGCAAACATAAAACATACCAAAAAAGTCAGTACTACTTACGGGGACATGGGGAAGAGCAGAGGTCCAAATGCCAGTGCAATTAAAACAACTTGTTAGCTTGAGACTACAGATTCCAAAAGTTCTGGAATAATGTATTACACATTATTTGGAATTGAAATAAGCAAACCTTAAAATGTGACCCGACTAGCCAGCCAAACAATTTAAATCACTTACATAAACAGGCACTGTTATGTTGTTAAATTGATTTTATGTCCAGTTATTTTATGTGTAGTAAAAAAAAAGCAACTGATGCAGCTGTGTTAAGGAGCCAAAGACAACAGGAGGCACTGGTAAATTTTGGCCTCTCTCAGACTGTAAATTTTGGTATGTTCACCCCTAAATTAAAGTATGCAAAGCTAGAAAATATTAAAAGGTCGCATATCAGATCATTAACATTATATATTCATTAGGCAGCTTTAGGAAATAAGGCTCCTCTACAAAGAGTGTTTTGATTGTGTGTATAGAAATCATTCCATTTTTAAATGGCACACCCACAGATGCTTAAGGGCTATAAAAGTTTCTAATTCTTATAAATGTGTTAGCAATTTTTTTAAGTTAGTGATTACAGTTTACCTGCTGTATAGAATAATTTTCTAATAATGAATGGTATTCTGAAGCTCCAACTGAGGCATTCATTTTAAAAGAAAGTATTGTCTCTTACCTTTATATGTTCTATTTTTTGCAAAAATCTACCAAAGTGACAGCTGTGTTCAGAGCTTAGATCCCAAAAACGTGATCTCTTTTAGTTAGTATCTGGCCAGATGGCAGTATACCTAATGAAATGGTGATTAATTTAAATGTATAATCTGGAAATATGTAAAACTTGAGTATTTTTGTCAGGCAAAGCTATACTGGAACTTGGTTCCTCATCTCAAAATGGAAGTGGATGAGATGATGTGATAACTTTGCAGTCCTTCTAACTCTTAAATTCTTTCATTCTACAGATTTTACTCTATCATTGTTATTCGTGTAGAAACGTTTTAGGGAAGAAAAATTACACTTTAAAATTAGTTTAGTTTTTTCTATACAGTTGTTTTCTTTACTCTTGAAAAGTTATGACAGCACAATGTCTCTTGTCTTCTGTAATTTTTATTTCTAAACTCCTGTCATTTCAAAGCTTTAACTGTACTTTATCAGAGCCTTCATTTCAGGTATGTGTTATATACCCTCAATGTATTCATTGACTATTCTGTAATTTCTGGTTTATCTGTTGCTTAAAAACTAGAATATTTTTCAAAGTAAAATAAAAAATTAAATGTATATAGTCAGAAATTCTTTGTGAAAAGATAAACCGTCTAGTATTAGATACTGAATTTTAGAGAGGCTGGTAGTTTCACTAGGTAATTACAATTGTCCCCATAGAGCCCATCCATATTACACAATGGCTAATTTATCTGATTATTTGTGGCTCACTTTTTCTTTTTTTTATTATGCACTGGAACACAGAACACATGTGCTACAACGTACAGGTTTGTACCTGCATATACATATGCCATGTTAATTCATACCACCATTAACTCAATATTTTTACATTAGGTATGTCCTTACAATGCTATCCCCTCCTACACACACAGCCAGAGGCGGTGTGTGATGTTCCCCTTCCTGTGTCCAAGTGATCTCATTCTTCAATTCCCACCTACCGATGAGCCTTGGTGTTTGGTTTCTATTTCTTGTGATAGTTTGCCAAGGCCGTCGTTTCCAGCTGCATCCATGTCCCTAGGGACATGAACTCATCCTTTTTTATGGCTGCATAGTGTTCCATGGTGTATATGTGTGTGGCTCCTTTTTCAACTGATTTCCTTTCATAGTCCCTTTCTCTATCTGGACATGAGATATTTCTTGCCAGTTTCTTCAAGGAGGATTTTGATGGTAAACTTCTGTGAATTTTGTATAGTTGAGATTCACACCCATTTGATTCTCTGGGTGAGAAAGAATATGAGGAAAAGTCTAGAATCATATTAATGATAAAGTATTTCCTAGGAGCAATTATAAATTTTACATAGCGCTGCAGAATCTCTGGCAACCCTATAACCAAATGTACTGATTTGGCATTTGCAGTGCTGCCAAGTTCAACCGCGTTCATTAGGTTAGTAGAAAAGAAGAATTAATACTATGATAAAAATATATATGCCGAACATGATTATTTAAAAAGTAGACTTAAGGCGATTGACATCAGATGGATGACACAGAGTTCGCAAAGAAAAAAACCTCCAGGGAAGTAAGAAACAAACTCAAGTTATTAATGTAATAGCTACTTAGGCATTTCATCTTCTATTGAAGAGATAATCAGCCAGTAATACTGAAACGCGTTCTAAAATACGCCCATCTCAGTATTAAACCTGGTCTGTATGTCCATGTTTAAATAGCATTTCTTCACATTTCCCAGACCAAAAACATTTTGTGCTCTTTAGAAGTGGTAGTTATTTATTGTTGTTTTCTTGTGGAAGCACTGGCCTCCTAGTCACTTTGAGACCAAAGCCCTTCTTCTGGTTTTGCACTTTTGAGCTATCAGAGCCTGGGCTAGTCTCTTAGCAACTTATGATCCTCAAATTTCTTGTCTGAAGAATTATAGATGAGAATGAGTGACCTAGGGGATTCTGTAGAACTGACGATTTAATTTTAGCTAGAGCTCTATCACTTTTAGATTTTCTAGTTTCTCTTTCCTCAATAAAAATCTTAGTGTAATTATATAAGTGACCCCATTCAAACTAACTAGTAGTTATACTGAAGTAAGCAGTTGTCTAAACTACTAGCACCTAACTTTCTATGCCCACTGTTGGGCAAACATTTTATTTAATCACCTGTAGCAGTCAGAAAGCCTACATAAAGGTTACTTGGTAGGAGTGTATTGTGGGTTAGAGTGCGTTGGGGTACAAAAAGACCCAGGTCTAGCCAGGCTTTCATTTGGCAAGTGATTTGTATTTGTAAATTTTATATATCTCAGGAAAAAAAAAAAAAAGGCTTAAGAATTAGACCACTTTAATCTCATAAGTCTGCATAGTTATAGTTAAATAACTGGTTCCTTCTTGTTGTTCCCATGCTGGTTGTTCAGGCTTTTTATAGTAGTTTATCACAGTCATTATTGGGGAAGTGTGAGTAGTGTATAGAATCATTGAGTTACGTTTCCTAATGAGACTCGGCTCAAGAAACTTT